CTCATCCATTTTTGGGGGGAAAAAATAAGAGTTTTGGAAACAAAAGTTGCAAAATTTGCCAGATGATACTCTTTGTTTTTCATTTTCCTGCAATTTGATTGGTCACTTAAAACAAGCCTTGAAATCTGATTGGTTGTTTGTTTTAAGTGTAAATTCCTCATTGGCTGGAAAAGAGATGCGATTTAGAGCAAAAAATGGTGCGATTTGGGAATAAATCGCACCAATTAGAGCCAATCAGATTACAGGGACCACCAGTGATTGCAAAATGGATGTAATAAATGAAATAACAGAGTTTAATTTTGTTTCGTGAAGTCACTCTATCGAGCGAAGTACGTTCACTGCCAGTATTTCAGCTAAACATCTTCAAGAAATATTGCCCTTTTGTAGACGTTGTCAAAACAAAGAGCGTTATTTATTCAAAGTACTACTACTTGCCATTGTTCAGCGATGAAAAGCTGAAGATGGCAGTGAAACTAATGTATTTCCAACAGCTGTCTTTTCGCTTTGGACACTGATAGAAATGCTAAAGATAAAATACTTACGATAAAACATCCTCGCTTAAAAGTATGGGGCAATTTTCATAAAGCAACCGTCGACTGATGTGCTGTAAGCAAAATCGTGTTGTAGATCATTTTCAATCCAGAAATGAATCCTCAGCAACACTAGAAATGCACACGTACGGTATTTGTTTTGCTTACGCGAATACTTGGTAACATGAATTAAAAGAGAGGAGGTACTATGTCGCATGAGTTCATCACAGATGATTACCACTTACCTAAACTTAACACCGCTAGGCTACTGATAATCACAGGAAAAATAAAATCATCGGTCCATAGCTGTGCAGTGAACAGTTAAAACAAATTTTCTTTGTAAAGAGCAACAGCATAGTAAACGCATGTGGTTTTACTAGCCATATCACTCAAGTGTCAATAGATCAAATTGAAAATAATACCTCAGACAAATATCTCAAGGCACAGTGTTCAATACCGAAAGAAATAGCTCAAAATTCAATCTTGTTAGACTAAGTATTCCCGCTAATAACCTTTAGACCCTAAAATCTCACACAGAACGCCTGGGCTGCCTATTTAAGTAACTTCTATGTTTGTTTCAGTAATTTCGGAAAAACCGGCTTCAGAACAAGTTCGTCACAATATAATCCAGTCAGCAAGGTGCCCCATAGATGCTATTCTTATTCAATGACATGTAAATGAGTGGCCGGGTATTCTGAAGTTTAGCCTATGTTTACCTTAGCTTTGGTGGCGAATTCTGCTTTTTTCACAAGCGTCTAAAAGGAAAGTTGATATTTTTTCGTATCGTGGGAGCAACTTCAGAATACCCGTCCACATCATTTACATGTGTCGGGAGGCTTTGAAGAATGAGGCATAACACAATAGATGCTATTCTTATTCAATGACATGTAAATGAGTGGCCGGGTATTCTGAAGTTTAGCCCAGTCCTCACTCACCTGAGCTGAACGCCACTAGAGTGATAAAAATCCCAGAGAGAACTAAAATGTAGTGTGCCATAGCCGAACCAGTTGCAAGTAATAGACAGATTTCCTTGTCAGGAGCGCTTTCCTGTATTCTGTCGGTAGTAAGAGACACGTGAACGTTTGCGGTTTACTGACGGTCATGTGATCATTTGTCCTCAAGGCCATGGGTAATGAAGTCCAATACTTTGGCCCACCAAATTCTCTGTTTAACTCTGTAAATCGCCACACTGTAATTTTTGTTATGTCATGTCTGTATTTGGTCTTGAGTTTGTGGAATTTTGCGCTTTCA